TATAGATTGAGTGGAGTATTTTAGATTTATTTCTTATTATTAATATTATCAATAAATTTATGTTTGAATGAATTCTTACTCATGGTATTTTAGATTTTTTTTCCTATTATATTAATTCATAGTTAAATAAGTTAGGGATTTATTTGAAAATTTTAAATTCATTGGGGATTTATTGATGATTTTTTTAAAAACATATTTAGTATTTATTTAAGAATTTTAAAAATAATTTTATCATTACAGTATAATTTTATATATAGTTAAAATATATAATTCAATGTTTAGAAACTCAAATGATTATTCATGACAACTGTAAACTGACAAGTTTTGGAGCTAAAGGCAAAGAGCAACTACCTATTCATCAGCTTCAAGATTCAAGATCAGCAGGAGGTGATGGACAAGCTGGGAAAACCTTAGGAATCCTATACGAGGATTTCACTTTTTCTCTTCCTGAGAAGGAATGTCGTTATGCAGCCTATGACTTTGATTTTGTGCAAAATTAACATGTGAGTTTTAATACAAAATTTGTATACAACTTAAAATTAATTAACTATAAGTGGAGTGATCATTTCTGTATTTAACTTACATACTTTTTTTTTGTTAAATCTTTAATATAAAATTTTTCTGCTCAACAAATTTCGGCACAAATGGGAATTACCAAAAAGGCAAAATCTTCTTCATTGCTTGGTAATTATTAATTGATTAATTTTCACCGAGATATAGTTGCAAATACATAAATTAAGAAGCACGTCAAAATTTAATTATTATGTATGTCACAAGGTGAGTGAAGACATTAAATAATTCTTTAAATTAAAATATTTTTACCACAATAAAATCTCGGAAGTTGGGTGGTAAATCTTTAAAGAGAAAATTTTATCTTAAATTAAATTAAATTTATTTATGAGATGATTAAATTATCCTTAAAGTAAAGGGTATTTAAGGTCACTTGGCAACTTTCCTTTGGCTATAAATAGACCATTCATTTGATGAAAAAGGGGGAAAAGGAGAAGCAGGAGAAAAGAAGAAAAATAGCAAGTTTAGAGCCTCTTGAAAATTCTCAAAGTTCCAAGTTCCAACTAAAGAAGGTTTCAACTCTCTGACAAGGAAGAAAATTTTCCAAGACAAATTTCAAATTCCCTAATAACAAGATCAAGCTAAGGCCCTTACCCTTTTAAATTCAATTGTCAATTAAAGGATCATGCTATTCCAAAACATGCTATCATTTAAAATTCGAGCATGTACATTGTAACAATCCCAAACCAAAGATTGTTTCTCATTATTTTCAAATTCATTATAATTTACATTTATTGTTTTACAAATCAATATAAATTTTTTAGATGTTGTGACTGCAATGAGAAACAAGATGTTATATGTGAGTTCCAAAGATGAATTCAACGAGTTGGATGGGATTCAAGTGGAGTTACAGGCAACCCATCCTAACCATCGATGGATCTTAACAAGTGGAGTTAAGAGTAGTCTTTTTATAATTATTATAGAGGAGTAGGCCTTTGATATTAAGACCTACCCCTCCAACAATGTTTAAAAAAAGTATAACATTGTAAAAGTGCATTCTCTTATTTGAAAATTGTTTATCTAGTTTTTGCAACTTACCAAACTGCTGTTTTTAATCTTCAAAATAAAAAATTTTCTACAAGGATACTAAACAAACCATAAAATATCATTTAGAAAAAGAAATTTTAATTTTAGACTAAAAAAAATTATCAATTTGCCGCAAAAAAAGAAAAAAAGAGAAGGAATGAATTACTTATGCCCCTAAATATCACCAACTAATCCTTATTTTTATGCCTCAATTGGTTAATAATTTGAAATTTTAAATTCAAATTTTAGATTAAGTAAGGAATTTGGGAAAAGTGAAGTGCTATTTGCTCTCATATAATTAATCATCTTATACACTGAAAAAGGAAATCATCATGTGATCAATGAGATACTAATAATTTAGAAGAAAATGAGCATTTTTCATCAATATTGAAAATGACAAAAATGTCATTAATGGAATGTTTAACCATTTATTTGAGTTGAGGGAAATGGAGGGAGGGGAGGAAACCATTTTTTAACCAATCAAATTACAACGTTTTAAAAACGTTATAATTTGATTAATTAAAAACTTTCTCCTTTCCTCATCTCCTCTCTATTCCCTTCAACCCAAATATGCTATAAATTAGTTGGTGATTAAGGGAGTAAAATAGCAATTTTTTGATTAATTAAAAAACTTTTTCCTTTCCTCATCTCTTCTCTATTCCCTTCAACCCAAATATACTATAAATTAGTTGGTGATTAAGGGAGTAAAATAGCAATTTTTTGATTAAGGGGTAAAATAGCAAGTGGGAGTTGCAGCCTACAGGCAATCGATCCTAGTGAAATAATCCTAGACATTGTAAAAGCCCAAGCACTCTAAACACGCAAGGTTCATGATTTTCCTACAATCATGTTGTTTATGAGAGTACTGTTGTTTACTTTTGTTGTTAATTTCTTTGCTTCATGTCTTCTATTGCATTGGTTTTATTATACTTAAACCATGTAGTTTAATTAATGTAATATTCATGATATATACTTTAATTTCCCATATCTTATCCATCCTTTTTTTTTCTCTTGTATTTTTTTTTTTGTAATTAATTGGTATTTAAAAGTAAAAATGATATTCTTACTTACATTTTATGTAATTAAAGGGAAAATATAAA